GCCACTATTGCTCCAGCATCACATCTTTGCATGGGAATGTCCAAAAATCTTGAAGCCTTTGTCCCCAGGAGATAGAGGCATTTGTCCCCACTGGTCTCTGAACCAGGAGGACGCGTTGCCAGAAATACACCCACCCCCGAAGCCCCCAGCAGATTTCTGCTGGACCAGAACCTGAACACATGGTGTTTACTCCAAAGTCCTTACTGGCCAAGGGGACTGGCTTGGCTGACTCATGGAGCATCCACAGGGCTGGGGCATAGACTCAGCTCTCCTAACACCCAGAAACCGTGTTCTTCCCACAGGCCCCTACCACTCGCTATCAGACCCTTGCGTCACAGAAAACAAAACCACGCACAGCAACGTGGACCAGCACCAGGCCTCCATGTACCTGGCAGCTCTGAATTCAGATTGGCCAAGTATGGGCGTAGCCGCTGGTGTCGGAGAGGGAGAAATGGGGCGGGTTGAGTATGGTGGGCAACAGGAGTGCTTTGTGAGAGCCCCCTTACAGAGGCCCAAAAGGAGCAGCTTCAAACAAGAAATGTATTCCCTCAGGGGCTGGAGGCTAAAAGGCCGGTCGTTACCCCACACTGAGCCCCACCATTCTGAGCTCACTCTTGGGAAGGGGGCCTCAGTTGTCTCCTCCATCCAACAGGAACAAAATAACCCCAGTGCGCCCCCTCCCAGGCCTCTGCAGGAGCCACTCCCTCTGCCTGGAGCACTTCCCTATCCCACCCCCCATCTGACCAGCCCCACTCCCAGGCTTCCTGAAATCTCTACCTCGCTGTCCCGTGCCCCCCAGAGCCTCCCCTCTCCCAGAGCCTGGGCGGTGCCCCTGCTCTGCTCACCGGTCTGTGGCTCCCAAGACACTTGAAGTCCACGAGGGCAGTGACCCCTGTGCTCCCAACTCCCAGACCATTAACCAGTCTTGGGCCAGGTGAATGCATCCATGAGAGCCCTGGTATAAAGGCCAAGCTTCCCCACCCTGCCCCCCTCCCAGGGGAAATTCCTTCTTTTGAAAGAACTGGAGGCGGAAGAAAGGAGCAGTGCTAGGACGGGCTCCCATCAGGCCTCCCAAGCTGGCATTTGCCAGGCATTCCCTGGGTTTTACCTCCAATCCCAGAGCGGGGATGGCCATGGGCATGGGGATGGCCAGGGAGGGCAGTCTTAGGCCCTTGGGGAGGAGCCCCAGGGGCAAGTCACAGAGACGCAGCCCAGAGCCACAGAGGAGTGACAAGGAAGTCGGTGGGCTCCTCACCTGCACCTCTCCAAGGAGACCCCAGAGATTTCCACATATAACCTGTGACGGCACTCCCTGACCCCCTGTCTCAGCCCCCAGTTCTCTCCACCCAGACTTCTGGCCTTTTCCACAGTCAGAGAAACAAGTCTGCCGACTATACTGCAGTAAAAAGTGAATTCATTTACAAAGGAAAAAAAAGAAAAACAAAACAAACTTGGCTCCACCCCAGCTGGCTTCCTTCTCCCTCTGTCTGTCTGTCTTCTTCCTGCCCTCAATGTTTCAAAATTGCTGTAAAATATACACAAACAAAATCGACCATCCTTACCATTTGTAAGTATATCATGCAGTGGCACTGACGACTTGTGGAAGAACGGGTTTGCCCAGGCTGCTCACCCAGCAACCGTGTCTTTTCACATTCCCACCAGGAATGCGCTGGGGTTCCCCTTCTCCACATCCCCACCGACATTTGGCATGGCCTGCTTTTTAATAAGAGCCATCGTAGGGGCGTCTGTGTGGCTCAGTCGGTTAAGCGTCTGCCTTCGGCTCAGGTCATGACTCCAGGGTCCTGGGATTGAGTCCCGCATCCGGCTCCCTGCTCAGCGGGAAGCCTGCTTCTCCCTCACCCTCTGCCTGCCGCTCCCCCCTGCTTGTGCTCTCTCTCTCTCTAATAAATAAATAAAATCTTTAAAAAATAATAATAACAGCCATCCTAGAGGGTGTGAAGGGTTTGCTCCAGGCCGCTGGACCTTCAGTAGCCCAGGACCCTCTGTATGCACCATCAATTTGACTGGAGTGTTTACTCTTCGCTTCTCCACTGTTCCACCACCAGTGACCCAGCTCTGATCTCCCAATTCAAAGTCCAGTTGGCTCCTCCAACCCTGTGGATTGAACCTCTTTGGGGCAGGTGTCTAGCCCTGGTGCAGCTGGCTCTGGGGGTGTGAGGGGGTAGAGGGAGGCGGTCCACGGGCCTTCCAATTCCAGGAGTGTGGTGAGGCCACCTTTCTTTCTTTCTTCCTTCCTTCCTTCCTTCTTTCTCTCTCTCTCTTTCTTCCTTCCTTCCTCTCCTTGTTAACGTCTTTTTCTCTCTCTCTTTTTTAAGATTTCATTTATTTATTTGAGAGAGAGAGAGCGAGCAACTGGGGGGAGGGGAAGAGAGAGAGTGAGAGGGAGAAGAAGACTCCTTGCTCAGTGGGGAACTTGACTCAGGGCTCCATCCCAGGACCCCAAGACCCTGATCTGAGCTGAAGTCAGATGTTTAACTGACTGAGCTGCCCGGGTGCCCCACGAAGCCACTTTCTTGCTGTGGGCAGGTGCAGTGGGGACCGAGGCCAGCTGTGGACACAGTGCTACACAGGAAGCCTGAGTGGCAACAGTGTGATCACCAGAGACTGGCCCGCAGAAATGACAACTGTCCACACCCAGGGGGGAGCCATCCTTATCAACAAACTATAGTTCATGAGCTCCCAGACCCTGGGATGGCTAATAGTGTTTGGGTTTGTTTGTTTGTGTATTTGTTTTTCCCAGAATGATTTTCTTTTCATTGACAGTGAGAAATAGATGGGCCAGGAGGCAGGGGACAGATCTGTACAGGCTCTCCCTACATCCACGCCCCATGAAAAGCCAAACTTTGATCAGAAACTGTGCCGACAGTGGTGTTGGGGCAAGGGGAACCGGAGACCCATCCCGGGGACCATGATCAGGGCACCTCCTTCCCCTCCAGGGCCGGGGCTCTCTGCAATGGCTGGCTTTCTGTGTATCTTTTATCTTATGCTCATGGATGACAATTCGCAGCAGTGGGGAGAAGCCACAGACCTGCTATCCAGGAAACCTCACGAACCACTCAGTTCTGTGTTCACTGGGCTGGATGTGAGACAAAGCTGTGTGTCCGACTCTATTCCCCCTGCCCTGGGCGCTCAGGCACATTGCATCTGCCAGCCTGCCGTGTGGTTCAGCAGGAACCTGTGCCTGAGTTCTGGACATGAGCTGAGGGCACAGATGATGGACAGCCCTCCTCAGCCCGGCCTCGAACCTCCCTCATGTCTTCCGGGCTTCCTCTCTGTGCCCTGCTGGCCAGAGGCAGAGGATCCCGGGGAGGACTCCCAGCCCTGGGGGATGGCGGCCAGGCAGACAGAGGAGCCGGGCCCCTGAACGACCTTGTGAACCAGATCCTCCCCCTCACCCAAGACAACCTGCTCTGTCCTGGGATGGGAGTGAGAAACAAGCATGTGTCCTGGGAAGCCACTGGCCTCGAGGGCTCCGTGTTACCTCTGTGACACTGCGCTGACCAGCGCACCCTGGAGACAGCCGTCCCCAAATCCTGCACTGCTGCTTGGTCAGTCCTGACTGCACCCAAACCGGCTGCGTCCAGCTCGGCTGTTCCCCACTTAGTGACCCACTAGCACATTCCAGTCCCACCTTCCTGGCTCGTGCCAGGTCACCCTGCTCCCGATCTGTGGTCGCACATTCTCTTACTCACAAGGGCTTGAGCCAACAAACTGCACGGATCGCTGGGTGACCTCCAGCGTGTCACTTGACCATCCCATGTGCAGTGGCACTAACTCCAGCCCCCCAACGCCATGAGGATCGGGGCGCCTCCTGGAGCTCAGAGCCCAGGAGCCTCCGCAGCAGAGGGCGCCTCCGTCACCAATGCACTCATCACCAGCTGGTGACAAGGAGCTAAGGCTCTACTCCTTGCACTCACAGAAGTGTCCTCCCCTGGGCAGGTGGCGAGCTTGTCCCCAGGCGTGCCCTGCCAGTGGGGCCTGACCCTGGAGCCTACCCCTGCCAAGGACACTTCCTTCCTCCTGGACCTCCAGCGGTGGCCCGCCCCGGCCCAGGAGGGGCCCCCAGGGGACAAGTGGGCTGCTCAGGAGCCACTCTGGAAATCTTGTCCCTACATCCTTGTCTCACACTCCTGGGGCACTTGGCGGTTTTGTTTGTTGGTTTCATGTAAATGCTCTTCTGAGGAATGACAATCCTGTGTGCACAGAACCAGAGGAGTTTTCTAGGGAAGGATTAGGAGAGGGTGGGAGGTAGGTGGCCTTGGAGGGTCCCAGGTTTGCCCCTCCAGGGCTTGCCCTGGGTCAAGAGCTAGGCAGAGGGGCGCCTGGGTGGCGCAGTCAGTTAAGTGACCAACTCTTGGTTTTGGCTGAGGTCGTGAGGTCTCAGGGTCATGAGATCAAGCCCTGCATTGGGCTCCATGCTCAGTGCAGAGTCTGCTTGGGTTTCACTCTCCCTTCCCCTCTGCCCCTCCCCCTGCTCCCTCTCTCTCTCTCTAAAATAAATAAAAAATCTTAAAAAAAAAAAAAAGAGAGAGAATGAGAGAGAGCCAGGCAGGAAGCTCTTGAGAGTATTGCTCAAGAATAAAGGACGCCTGAGGGGCTGGGAAGTAATAGGGCTCATTCTGGCTGCCCTGCCCTACCTCTGTTTCCCCCCCGCCCATAGCCCAGAGAGATGGGACAGATGTGGACACTCAAAAGCCCCCTGCTTGCAGGGTCCTAGGAGTCCAGGCCCATGGGACTTAGGGCAGGAGGAGAGAGGGAGCAGGAACCAGGCATCAGGCAGGAAATGGGGTGGGGGGGTGGGGGGGAAGCTGGTAGAGTGTCACTGCTCAGAAGAGGCAGGGATCAAAGCACCTGGAGGGCTCTCCAGGACAAAGGCAAACACTGAGGTCCCTGCTGCCCCCACAGAGCCCGGCACCCCCCGCCCCCGGCCAGGTATAAGGGCCCCCGGCCCAGCAGGGGATCCAGGCTGTGGAGGTGCCATGGCCAAGTCCCAGCAGCTGCTGTGGCTACTGTTGCTGTCCACGCTGTGCGGCACAGGCGCAGGTGAGCCTCCCCAGCCTCTCCTCAGCTCCCTCTCTCCCGGGGCCAGGTGTGGAGGAGGCTTCCCGTCCGCCTCCAGGCGCACTGCCTCCGGCCCTGAGCCAGGCGTTACCCCTAGTCCGTAGGAGCTGAGGAAGCTGAGGCTCTGAGCGGCTCCCGCGCTTGTCCAAGGTTACACACCCTGGGGTGGGGGTGGGGTGCATAGAGCAGGTGGGACCCTGCTCCATCTGACTCCAGCACATTTAAGGGCCAAGCGCTCCTGGTAAAATTAGGTTTGGAGGTTGGGTGAAGTCAGAGTGCCAGGTGTGGCCTAAATCCCAAGGTTGCTCTGGCCCCAAACTGCAGCTGACTGGACCGCCTCGTCCCTGGCTTGTGCCTGGGGCCCCGAGTTCTGGTGCCAAAGCCTGGAGCAAGCACTGCAGTGCAGAGCCCTGGGGCACTGCCTACAGGAAGTCTGGGGCCACGCAAAAGCTGTGAGTACCTCCCGTGGATGCACCGGGACTGGAGGTCTGGCATAGAGCGTGCTGGGTGGCCTCTGCATGGGCCTGAGGGGATTCAAGCCCCCGCTAGGGGATGGGATAGGTTGGGATAGGATGGGATAAGATGACATGGATGGGTTGGGATGGGGGGTAGTCGCCTGCGCCTTGGAGCGCTCTGTCAGCCTCACACACCTGAGCTGGGAGCATGGCCCCCCCCCACTCAAATGCCCCACCTTGGGGCCCCCTCCCCAGGATGACCTGTGCCAGGAATGTGAGGACATCGTCCGCAGTCTCACCAAGATAATCAAGGAGGCCATTTTCCAGGTAATGAGGCCCAGATCCTGGATGAAGCTTGGGGGCCAAGAGATGGGGGACAGAACAGGGCACAGAGGTTAGCCCCCTAAAGAGGCCATCTCCAGGCCGAGAGTGAGACATGGGTTTGCCTGGGGACTCCAGGAACCTCCTGGCCAGGAGAGGGTCTTGGGAGTGAGCCAGAGATGGTATCTCCTAAGGGGGAGGATCCTCCCTGTAGCCAACTACTTAACCCCTTGGCACTCTCTCAACTCTGGTGCCCTGGGAGAGGGTGGCCAGCCTGCCTGGTGGCGGTCCTGCCTCCAGGGACTCGGGCAGGCACAGACCTCAAAGAGACCAGCCTGACTGTCTCCTCCCTGCCTCCCAGGACACGATGCAGAAGTTCCTGGAGCAAGACTGTGATGTTCTGCCCTTCAAGCTTCTCGTGCCCCAGTGCCATCACCTGCTTGACACCTACTTCCCAGTGGTCGTCAACTACTTCCAGAGCCAGATCGTGAGGGCCCGGCAACCTTGCCTCCAGCCTGCCTCCCTGACAGCCCCCATGTCCAGCCACATGCAGAGTTACCCACGCACACTACGCCCCAGCCCCACACACATACACACACACCCTACCCGTGACCAGTCCAGGAGACACAGTGGCCCACAGCCACATGGCCCAGATCACAGTCCTACCTGCTCAGCTGTACTGAGTGGGTCCACACAATGGGTTTACAAAACCCCCACTACACACCCTCACACCCTTCACACTCACATACACTCACTCATACACTCATACCACACACTCAGTCTCATGCAGAACCCTCACCATCACATACTCACACATACAAACACACTCTCACACCCATGCTTGCACTTATCCATTCTCACAAACACACATGCTTGTGCTCATTCACACACATCCCCAGACACCTGCCCGAAGACCCCACACAGCCCCACCTCTGCCTTTTGGCTCCCCCCACCCTCACCACAGAACCCTAAGCCACAGCCCCCGTCCAGCCTGCTGCCCCTCATTCCAGGCCCAAAGCCAGAGGTCTTAGTGCAAGCCCTTGAGCCAGGCTGGGCAGGAGTGGGTCCCCTCCCACACCCTGACCACTCCCTCACCCTGCATTGCGCCCTAGAACCCGAAGGTCATCTGCAAGCACCTGGGCCTGTGCAAACCTGGGCGTCCAGGGCCAGGGCAGGAGTCGGGGCTGTCAGACCTGCTGCCGGAGAAGCTGATCCTCCCCGGGCTGCCAGGAACCCTCCAGGTGAGGGCTGGGCCTCACACCCAGGTGACAGAGGGCCCTTGCACTGCTGGCCCCTCATACAGATAGGTGGGATTCCAGACAACGACGCCACAGCCAAGGCCCATAAGCACTTGCCCTGGAGAGAGCAGAGCCAGCAAGGGGACAAGAAGCTCTAAGCAGGGCCTAAGGCAGGGAAAAGGGGAAGAGAAGGCAGGGGAGGTAGGGCCTGGAGGACGCCTTCTCCCAGGGCCCAGCCCAGCCTCACCTGGGGGTGATTCTCTCCCCCAGGATCTCTCTGAGCCTCGGCTGCCCATCCCCCTCCCCTACTGCTGGCTCTGTAGGACTCTGATCAAGCGGATCCAAGTTATGATTCCCAAGGTGAGACATCCAGGAATATGAGGAGCTCAGCAGGGCCCTCCACAGCTCCACCCTCCCCTCCCCTTCCTCATACCCCTGTCAGGGGCCACACACGGGACCCCGGAGCTCAGGCTCAGGCCCCGTGGGCGCCAGGCCTAGAGTTCATTCAACAATTGTAAAGCCCCCGCTATTACATGCCAGGCATTGTGCCAGGCGTCAAAGAATAAAAATGAACAAGACCTCGGTCTTGTCCACCAGCAGCTCATCATTGGATGGCGAAGAATCCCAGTTTGCTTGTTTGTTTAGAAAGAGTGCACACAAGGGAAGGGGGGGTTGTGGGGGTGGGGGGAGGGCGAGGGAGAGAATCTTAAGCAGGCTCCATGCTCAGCGGGGCGCCCAACGCGGGACTTCCATCTCACCACCCTGAAATCAAGACCTGAGCCAAAATCAAGAGTTGGACACTCAACCGACTGAGCCCCCCAGGTGCCCGGACGAGTGCGGCTTTTAGCGACAAAGGCCATCTTGGCACGTTTGTGTGCCTATGGGACTGGCCAGCAGATGGGAGAAGCAGTGAGGTGGGGAGAGAGGACAATGCGGGTAATGTACTTGGGGTGGGAGCGGGGGTCCAGGGCACGAGTCGATGGGCTGGCCTTGGGCAGAGCAACGACCGTTCCTCTGTCAGCGAAGTAGGGAGGTTAGGCGAGTGTGGCAGGTTCTGACACAAGCAGGTGACATGCACAAGCATTTGGTGAAACGTACCCGTTTGGAAGGTAGCGCACCCCAGAGACATACAATTCACTGTGTCGTGCGCCCACCTCCACCTTCCCAGCAATGGGGGACGGGGCAGCCGCCAGCCGCGGTAGACCCAAGGCCAGCCGGCGCCGTGCAGGTTCTTGACACGTGCTGGTTGAATGAATGAAGAAAGGAGGGAATGAGCCAGAGTGCTTGTCACCTCTGCCTCTCTCCTTGCCCTTCAGCTAGGAGGTGGAGTTTGGAATCGGGGTGGGCTGGGGAACCTCCTCGCTTCCCCCAGGTGTTCCAGGAGCCACAGATGAAAGCTGCCGCCACTGCAGGGAGATGTAGCAAGCCCCGCGTGTGCAGGGGGAAGCCCCAGGTCCGATCACCGTGGGCCCGGCGGACGGCCACCCATCTGGGCTGGCCACGCTCCTTCCCACAGCCCCAGAGCCTGTGGACACCGAGCTGGGATGGCGGCCTGGCCCCTGCACTCACTTAGTGACTCTGGCGGGGCCCCTCGGACTCTCGGATGCCCAGCATCCTTATCTGTAAAGAGCATACTCATTCCCCCTCCCAGAAAGGCGCAGGGTCAAACTACGAGTTGCCCGCAGGTGCCGGGCACGGCGTAGACCTTGCCGGGGCAGGTCCCATCGTGCCCTGTCTCTGCCCCCGCCCCAGGGTGTGCTGGCCATGGCTGTGGGCCAGGTGTGCCATGTCGTACCCCTGGTGGTGGGTGGCATCTGCCAGTGTCTGGCCGAGCGTTACACCGTCCTGCTGCTGGACGCGCTGCTGGGCCGCGTGCTGCCCCAGATGGTGTGCGGCCTGGTCCTCCGGTGCTCCAACGGCGCTGGCCCCGGTGAGCCCCATCCCTCCCCAGTGCCCACCCTCCTCTTCCCTGCCCCCTCCCCTGGCCCTGCCCCGCCCCCCCCCACCCCCGGTGCCCCCTGCACTGCGCCAGTCCGGACTAGAACTGAGCACCTCTGCAGGGCAGGCTTGACGGTTCTCTCTCCCAATCCTCACAGCTCTGGAGTCCCTGCCCGCAGAATGGTTACCTCAAGAGTCCGAGTGCCACGTCTGCATGGTCGTGACCACGCAGGCCGGGAACAGCAGCGAGCAGGCCATGCCGCAGGCAATACCCCAGGTCTGCCTCAGCTCCTGGCTGGACAGGCAAAAGGTGAGGGATGGGCACGCGGGGGACTTGGGGCCCTGGGCCTGCCCCCAGTGGAGGGGGGAGCCCGGGAAAGGCTTCCCCGTCAGAGACACACAGAGTGGTCCGACCCCTGCCCTCGAGGAGCTCAAACAGGCAGGACGTGGGCCCAAAAACCGTGGAAAAAATAACACAGGGCAAAACCTGCCAAGGTCAGGGGTTGCCTTTGGACAAAGGGCATGGGCCCCAGAGGACCTGCAGGCCTCCCTCACGGACGAAGACTAAGGCCCAGTTATCATGCCATGCCCACGGGAGCAGGAGAGGGCCTGGCCTTCTCTGCAGGGTCCCCGTCCTGTCCTCGCCCCATCCCTCTCTCAGTGTGACTCACCGGGGACACACCCACCCTCGGAGAGGGCTGGGCTTAAAGGCTCTAGAGTCCCAGGACTCAGAGTCCCTACAGTGAATTCCCTTCACAAAGTCAAGTCCTAAGGCAAGCCTACTGATGACCTGCCAGGGAGGCAGCGTTCTGCATGGCACTCCCCTGCTCCAGGATGTGCAGGGCTCCCCACTGCCCACCACATCAGGTTGCCAAGCCCAGAGGAGCTTGAAGATTTCTAGACCTGAAATTTGGGGGGATGGGAAGTGGTGGCTATGATGCAGGCCCCGCGCGTGAGCTGCGAGCCCCTCCATCTCCAGTGTCCCTGGCTTTCCCAACAGAAACCCTCCATTTCAGCCCACACCAGCCTGTTCACAGCCGGAGCTGCTCACTGGGGGCGATGGCTGGAGCTCCACCGGGTCAGGAAGGAGCGCTGGAGTGATGCAGATAAGGGGAGAGTCCTGCAACGGGCCCAGTCCCCCCCCCCACACACACACCTGTTTCTTTCTCCTTCCTCAGTGCGAGCAGTTTGTGGAGAGGCACACACCCCAGCTGCACACCCTCATGGCCGGGGGCCGGGATGCCCACGCCACCTGCCAGGTACTCTCACCCTCCCGGCTGGTGCCAGGACTTTCCTCAGCTCCCAGAGCCCCCACCCTCTCCGGTCCATGATCGGCAAAGGCCCCGCTCCTCTGGGGCCAGGGCAACCCCAGGAGTACAGGCCCAGGATGCTATTTTAACATGGGTCAAGGAAAAGCCACAAAAGAATGGACAAGGAGACATAGGAAAGGAGGGGGCAGCTATAAGGAGTGTGGTCTGATGCACATTAGGGAATGGTGGGTGTTCGCTGAGCAGTGTGTGCTTGGCAGGAGCTGCCAAGTGGGTGTTCTGGGGCAAGCATCCCACCTCCTCAGGCTCCAAACCTAGAAGGCCCGTGGCTCAGGCAGTCTACAAGGTCACACCAAGAACACCCACCAGATGGCAGGCAAAGTGAAAGCTGCCCCTTCCAGTAGGAGCTTCCCATCCCCCTCAGAGCTGGGAAGGGGGAACAGGATCCAAGGCCTCTGGCCCTAACTCTGTCCCTATGGCAGGCCCTGGGCGCGTGTAAGACCACGTTCAGTCCTCTCCAGTGTATGCACATTCCTCAGTTCTGACGAGAACTCAGAGCCATGCCAGGTGAGTCTGGGCTCCCAGTTGAGGGGAAGAAGAGGTAGATGGGTCGTGTACCCATTGGGACAGGGGCCCTGTGTTCCCCAAGCAGGAAGAGGTAGTCACTGCTGCTGGTTGCCCCATCCTCCCCTTCATAGGCCACAACTCAAGGCTCCTGAGGGCCCCTCACAGCATCATCTCAAGAATGGCCTCTCTCACTCCCTCTCCTCAGAATCCCGCCACCCCTGGGGCTAGGCCCAGCTCCCACCTCCCTCACCTTGTCCCAGGCCTCAGGGGGAGCTGCAGCTCACCCTCTGCACTCACTGATCTTCAGTATTTGACGTACCAAGGCCAACCTTTCCTGAAGTTCAGGGGAAATCATGCTGTGCTGCATAAAGATGTTGTCCCCTTAGAAGCCAGGAACTCTACCATCATCTGACTCCTCCTTCCTGAGACACATTTCTCTCTTCCTGGCTGTCATTGTCTAAGTCAGAGGTAGCACCTTAGGATGGAGGGGTAAGTCAGATGCAGCCCCTATGACCAGGGCCCTCAGGCCAGGGAAATGACCCTGAGAGGGACAGACATAGCAACTGTGGGCTAGAAGTGTCCCTGAGAGCAAACTTGGCCCACTTCACCATTCTGCCCGGAGCCAGACCCTAACACCCCATGTGTTAGGTGTGTTCACTCATTTTTTAAAAAAATGTACTGGGTGCCTATAGCCAGAGTGCGCTTTAGGGGCAAGGTCTACAGCTGTGAAGAAAACGATGAACCCCATGCCCTCCTGGCACTCAGGCCCCAGGGTCCGACTCTTGCATCTGAGTGGGGCAGCCCAGGCCTGCTTCCGAATCTCTCTAGAATTATAAGCCCCTGTGGGAGGCAGTGAGGAGGAAGTGTCCCCCAACTCAGACCTATCCCACAGGGACCAAATTCATGTTTTCCCTCCACCCTGATGACAGCTGGGGGAACCTAGGGGCCGGGAAGCTACCCAGGAGACCAGGGCAGCCTCCTTTCCCCAGCTCCTAAGGCTTCCGGCACCAAAAAGAGCCACGCCTTCCATCCCTGTTGGAACAGGAAAAGCAATGGATTGGCCCAGGGGACCTGGGCTCTGGTCCTGACTCTGCCGTCAACTGCCCCTGGGTTCTCCAGCCAAGATACATTGCCCCCTCTCTGGCTCTCATTCTCCTCAGCAGCAAAGGGGGATCGAAAGAGGTGGTTTCTCCTCCTCAGGCTCCCTGCCCTCTGCCCACACTGGGAAGCCTTCACTCCCACAGTCACCTTCCCCATCTCCTTTAAGCTGATGGACCATGAGCCCGCAGCTTGTGACCTCAGTCCTGCTGTCAGTCTTACCTCTCCTGTCTCTAACCACAGCCCAAAGCAGAGCCACTTTCTTCCTCTGCGGGTGTGAGGAGCAGCCAGGGCAGCATCTGCTGGAGGAGATCTGTAAGAGGCTGCTTCCGGCCCGGGGACTTCCGGCCAGACTTCACACACCCCACTGGAGCCAGCCCAGCTCCCACAACACCCCCGGGCTGGGTCCTGGGGAACTCGTCAGCCACACACTCCTTCCCTGGCTCCAAGAGGACAGCCTGCCTCACTTTCATCTCCATGTGCATAAGATATTGGCTTTTACAGTGGTTTTGCCAATACTTTCACAAAACTCAAATTCAGAAGAATAAAAAAAAAAAAATGGGAACATCAAGTACCATAAAAGATAGATATATGAAGTTGAACTTTAAAAAAAAAATCAGGAAATCCCTGACTTGTCAAGAATGGACGCGGCAGGGCTCAAGCAAGGTGGGAAGGTGATTGGACAAACTTTCATATTTGAGATGTTCTCCGGCTTAAGAGCTATCACTTTAAGATGTAAAAAGGGGTTTTCTTTTTATCTTTTTGTAAGGCAAGCTTCCTCCAAGTTTTGGTTAAAATTCCAGTGTGATTCCATTTCTGCTATGATTTATCTCCTCAAAGCTCAGTTGGGGCACGTGCTAAAAATCAGTTCCTATGTAATCCAATGCCTGTAACAATACCAATAAAGCCTACTGCTTCATACTAAAAGGAAAAAGACAGTCATTGAAAATGCCCCCAAAGCTGCAGCCTCATGCGGCTGGACTGGGCAGCAACATCACTCTCCTCCTTGAGGGAGAAGTAGGCGTCCACGGGGCTGCCCCTGCCCCGTAACTGCTTCCCGCCCCGCCCCCTCCCCTCTCCCAAAGAGCCCACTCATGGGGATGAGATGAGGTTGTTAGGGTACCCAAAAAATCAAAATGTACAACAACAAAATTAAATAAACCTTTATCTTTAAAGACCTAAGTGCCTGGAAGTGTCCCTTTATTTATAAAAGAACTTTTGTTACTATATGTCCTATTATGAAAGAAATACATGTTTATTGTAGAAAATTCAGAAACTGCAGGTCACAAAGGAGTGGAAATCACCCACAATCCTACCAATCCCAGGAAAGGATTAGAGCAGGATGTATACTTTGGCACTGAGCTACAGACATTTCCAATCCATTTTCCCCACATCTCCACCATTCAAGCTCCACGAAAAAGCTTTCTATACAACGTGCTCTTGGGGGTAAGGATGTTGGACACAAATCCTTAGCCTCTGAATTTGAACTTGTAAGTGAATTTTTGTAAATCTATAGCAGACTATTGTCTTGGAAACCATTATTTCGATTGTAAGGTCAAGATCCCCGAGAGAAGAGCGTTTTAAATTTTTTAAAAGCTTGGCTGGGAAGATGACGAGACAGAGCCTGGAGGTGAGGCAAGCATGGGGATGAGCTCGTGAGGATGGAAGAGAAGCTTTCACTCAACAGGAGGGCAGGAGTGGACCAGCTACTGGGAGGAGAGAATTGCAGGAAGCGGCTACAGCTGAGACTCGGAGAGTCCCTGAGACATGCCCAGCAACCTGCACCCCCAGAGCAGGGTGGGAAAGGAGAAGCCCCAGGAGGTGTGAGGGCCAAAGAGCAGAGAGGGCTTGTTCTTCACTTTCCAGGGCATGAGAACACAAGTCCCTTAGAGAAGGCTGCCTCCAACATGACATTAGAAAGAGTGCAAAACACAGCCTTCAAGAGGGGCCTAGCAGACAGGCCTGAGGACAGCCTCAGAGGGTGCCCCCTGCATGATGCAGAAGAGCAAGCACACCCCTAGGGCCCAAGAGGCCGTCAGAATCAGCTCTGCACAAAATGGGGGGCCCAAAAGAGCCTATGATTGGGGACAAAGCACTGACAGATTTCATGCACCTTGAGAGGAGCGAAGTCAGATCTGACAGCCCATCCCAGCACAAGGAGAGGGGAACCGAGAGGACCAGGGAGAGCACAGTCCCCAATACCTCTCCTCACGACAGGGCACTTTGTCAATCATTCCCAGAAAAAATGAAAGTAGGGTTCAGTCGTTAGTAACCCAAGAGGGGCTGAGTATTAAAAGAAGGGGCTGGGTGCCTGGGTGGCTCAGTCAGTTAGGCGGCTGACTCTTGATTTCAGCTTAGGTCATGATCTCAGGGTCATGAGATTGAGCCCTGCGTGGAGCTCTGTGCTGGGTGTGGGGTCTGCTTGGGATTCCCTCTTTCTCTCTCTCATAAATAAACTGTTTTTTTTAAATAAATAAAAAAAAGAAGGGGCTCAATCACTTTCGAATGGAAATATTATATTCTGGGGGCTTAAGAGTCCAAATGAATTCAATTATAAAACAATAAAGACAGTTACTTTCATGTCCCCCTGATTAATGAGTGAGATTTAAAATCCACAACACATCATGGTAACATTTTATTACAGATCATTCCAAACTTTTCTCTGCACATACACAAAAATAGATGTAACAGATTTTTTTTCTTTAGATTTTATTTATTTGAGAAAGAGAGGGGCAGAGGGAGAGAGAGAAGCAGGCTCCCTGCTCAGCAGGGGAGCCCGACGCAGGAGCCCGATTCCAGGACCCTGGGATCGTGACCTGAGCCAAAGGCAGCTGCTTAACTAACTGAGCCACCCAGGCGCCCCTATATATAACAGATTTACAAAAATGGAAACATCCTATATATGTTTTGTAAATTGAACAACTGCTTTGTTCATTTAAAAATAATCTTTCCAGGCGCCTGGGTGGCTCAGTTGGTTACGCAACTGCCTTCGGCTCAGGTCATGATCCTGGAGTCCCAGGATCGAGTCCCACGTCGGGCTCCCTGCTTAGCGGGGAGTCTACTTCTCCCTCTGACCCTCCCCCATCTTGTGCTCTCTCTCTCTCTCTTTCTCTCTCTCAAATAAATAAATAAAATCTTTAAAAAATAAAAATAAAAATAAAATATAACCTTTCCAGGGGCGCGTGGTGGCTCAGTCGGTTGACTGGCTGGCTCTTGGTTTCAGCTTAGGTGGTGATCTCAGGGTTCAGAGATCAAGCCTGGCCTTTCTGCGCTCAGCAGGGAGTCTGCTTAAGATTTCCTCTCTCTCTCTCTCCCTCTGCTCCCCACCCCCAGGCAAGCTCTCCCTCTCTCTCTCTGAAATGAATAAATAAATCTTTTTTTAAAAATTAAAATAAATAAATAATAAATAATAAAAATAAAAATAATCTTTCCAGGGATTCCTGGCTGGCTGAGTTGGTGGAGCATGCAACTCTTGATCTCAGGGTTATGAGTTTGAGCCCCAGGTTGGATGTAGAGATTATTTAAAAATAAAATCTTAAAAAATAAAAAATAAAAATAATCTTTCCAGGTCAATAAATATAGACATCTGTCATTACTGGTAAGTGCTGCATGGTATTTTTTTCTGGATACAAACTCTTCCCTTTATCAATAATATCAACTATCGTTATTAACAATATTGTGAAAAATAAAAATCCTGGCACTTACATCTTTGTTTACCCGTCTATTTCCTTAAAGTCAATTCCAAGACATGAAATTTGGGGACAAAAACTATGCTGCACATCTTTACTTTTACTATAGGCTATATTTCCACACTCTCCCCCTGTACCAGCCGTACCAGCTTCTATCCCAATAACAAACACGTGCCTCTTCTCTACTCTCA